ACATATATATATATATATATATATATATATACACACACACACACACACACACATATATATATATATATGTATGTATATATATATAAATAACACTTACAAACACTAGGAGGCAGCTCAGATTCACAGAACATCTGTTGTGACCTGAACGCAGCATCACAGTGTTTATTTATATTCTGTATATTAAACCTGTTTCTGTCTGATCTGTAAATGTCACATTACATGAAGGTTTTAGATGTGGATCTACAATTGGTGGAAATTATCATGGAGAAGTGAAAGAAACCGGAGTTAAAAAAGAACCAAAGTGACCCGTTCAGACCGGTTCAGACTCTTTCTGATCAGAGGTCAGCTGAGGTGAAACCAGGACCCGTCCTCACCTCCAGGACCTTTCTTCTTGCCTTTCTTGGTCTTCTTCCTCCTGGAGAGCTCGTTAAAAGCCTCGGCAGCTTTTTGAAGTTTGGTGACGAAGGACTCGATGTCGTCCAGGATGTGGTTCAGGATTTGCTGTAAAAACAAAATAAACCTGTGATGAATCATAAGGAACCTGTTCTCCAGAGGTTTTAATGTTTTCACCCTCAGCTTTGTCCTGAACGTGACATTTATTCAGACTGATTTAATTATTAAACCTGAACTAACAGAGCAGAGCTCAGCTCTCCCTCCTCCTCATACTTTCCTTTATGTAAGCAGATTTTTCTTCCCAACTCTGATTACACTGAAATAAAACGACATTCTTCAATCAGCTTAAATCTTGTGTCTATTGTCCTGTGAACTGCAGTGACCTCAGATTTAAACACAGGCTGCAGCAGCTGCTCTCAGATCAGCCTAACTCACCACGTCTCTGTCCACCCGAGCTGCCGTCATCTCCACCAGCCCGTCCTCCTCCGAGACCTGACGCTGCTTCTCGTCTGACGACAGAAATGCAGAAAATATACCATTATTATTATATTATTACATAATAATTATACAAGATTATTATTATACTACACTATATTTACACTTTGATATTTATTATATCAAATAAAATGTTTCTCCAACAAAATGTCAGAAACAAGTGAAATGATTGTAAAACCCAAAACTATTTAATTACATTATAAATATTAATGGAATTTTAAATGCAATATGTAATTCACATAATTAGGTAAAATAATATATTTTTTAAATTACATCAGACTAAACTGAATAATTTTAACATTTAGCATATTAGCATGCTAACATGCTAAAGAAACTGGCTGGTGAGTGGAGAATTTTAATCTTTAAACTAAAACTGAATGTTTTTATGAAACAAACATTCTTGTAAAAAATACTGTCACTTTAAAAACCTTCACGGGCAGAAACTGAATTCATCATAACTTTAAGTTATAAAAGTAAAAAGGTTCAAATAAATCCTGTTTATTTCAAAACTAGTTTTAATGCTTTGAATTTTATTTAATCCAAATTTAACACCATGTTTTTTTAACGTCCAGCAGTTTTTCTTTTTTCCAGTAGATACGCATATGCTCCTCCCAGGAAGTGACATCACTCACAGTCTTGCTGCTCATTGGTCCAGGCCGACCAGGCGGCCACTCGGCTCTTTACGTCCACCTGATTGGACGTTGCTGGGGGCTCGGGGGCAGGAGCAGGAGGAGGTGGGGGGATGATCCCGTCGCTCTTCAGGATCATCCTGCAGACAGGTGGACAGGTGGATCAGCCAATCAGCTGTCAGCATGAGGAACAGTGTTTAATAATAATGATCAGTTCTTACTTCAGAGTCTCTGGTCTCTTCTTCACTTTCCCTCCTTTGGCATCGGTCATGGCACTGTCTATGTCTGCGTGGATCAGATTCGCCTGATGGAGTCAACACACAGAGGTCAGAGGTCAGCATAACAAACAGTAAAACCCTTTCAGACATGAAATCTGGAACATTTCTGGCTTCATTCATCTGGTTTCAAACAAAAGTAATGGAATATTTATGACACAGAAACATTTCTATATGAATCCCTTTTACAATCAGTCCTGGTGAACCACAGGGCTCTGCTCTTGGTCCTTTAACATTTACAATAAAACGAAGGACTATTTTCAATATTGATCGATCTTTAATAGTTTGGTAGATTTATAAATGTATTACTTTATTTCATTTGTTCATTATTTGTCACAGAGTGCTGGTTCAGACGTTGACCTGTAGACCTGGACAGGGATCAGCTGACAGACTCTGATACCTGGACTCAACATTCAATCAGCTTGAATGTCACTTTATGAGGAGCCAATCAGAGGCAGCTCACCTTGATGTCGTCACACTGGAACAGGTGGAGGTCTGGTTTGGTCTGACCCGACTCCTTACACACTAGAGCCAGGATGGAGTCGTAGCTGCAGGCGTTCATCACGGCCTGGCAGTGCTGGATCGTCCCGATGGGGAAGTTCTCCATCTCGTTCTGAAAGAACAAGAGATGGGACGCGTCACACAGAAATCCACTCACCTGTCTGAAAGTAAACCCACAGGTGAGTCTCACCTTGGTCTCCTGGTCGATGAGGCTGATGCTCTTCTCCTCCACCTGCAGCAGCATCTCCTGAGTCCAGACTTTCCCTTTAGCGTCCAGCAGACGGAGACGTCTGATCCCGTCGTCCACGGTGATCATCCCGTCTTTACGGTCTAACACGAACGTGGTCAGGTGCTGAACAGGAAACAGGAATAAAGCATCGAATTAATTAATAACTAATTGTGAAATAAATAATCTTTAATACATTTGTTTACAAATCAATTTATCAATCTATTCCGAAAAAGGCTGAATTAAAAGTAATTGATTATTCAATTATTATCAATTATTAGATTTTTTTTTTTAATAAAAAGAATAATTGTAAAAAATGATTTCCAATTGGAAAATCAATCCATCAATAAATAGTTCAAATTAAAATAACAAGATAAATGTCTCCAAGACCCCGCCGTGTCCTGACCAATCAGATCTTACTTTAGCTTGTTACTAGGTAAAAAACATGTCAGGGAGCTCTGTGATTGGTGGTCGTTTTATAACATAGTTACATTTATGTAAACAATGATGTTTTGGAGAAACATTAAAATTGACCAATAAGATTTCACCTCTGTGAAATAACAGATTTCAAACCTGATATATATATAACCTGAATCTGATCGTCTCAGCACTGATACACAAACATATATAAATAACTGAGATACGTCATCATATGTATTAAATCTGCCATTTTGTAGTTAATTACTAATAATTCATTAATGTTAAAGTCACATCATATGTCATGGTCTCACCTCTACGTGATACTGCGACGTGTCCGTCAGACTGTTGATGCTGTTCTTGGTGTAATGTTTTCTTTGTTCTGATGAAAACAGCACAGCAGTTAATAAACTCTTCATCACTCTGCTTCATCCTCTTCATCATTCACGTTGTGGTTTACACTGACGCTGTAGGTCCAGATCAATAAACCACGTCCCACCAGGAATCTGTTATTCTCTGATTCTCTGTCATAATCATTCATTTAAACCTGAAACTTTTCTTCTTCTCAAACATCAAATGTCAAAGTTCAGTTTGAGTAGTCAGGTGAGAGGAGGGTCAGTTCAGCATTTACAGACGTTTGATGAGTGAAGTGATGATTGATTGATTGATTGATTGATTGATTGATTGATTGATCGACTGAAGAGTCAAACATCTTCCTGGAGGGACTGAAACTGAAACTGATCAGGAACATTCATGTTTCACAGGGACAGACTCGGAGGAAAAACACAAAACAAGATGAATTTAAGTGAACAGAAAAGCCACTCTGCAAACTTAAATTCAACATTATATAAAATCTTTATTTTAAAGTCCAACTTCGACAAAACTCATTTGTTTCTGGTGTTAAACTGTAACTTTATCATTGGAGAAATATGAGGAATTCTCCTTTAATCTGTGGGCTCAGAGTGAAACTGTAGGTTTGTTTCCACTCTTCATGTTTTTATTGTAGAAAGACACTTTGTGGGGCTGATAGGGATCATTCATAGTTAATAATAATTAATAATAATTAAGAAGAAGAAGAAGAAGAAGAATAAAGAAAACCTTTAGTATCTAAACTGACTCACTCACGAGTTTCAGTCTGAGTTGGACTTTAAATGAAACACTGGGTTCTGCTCTGCAGGGCTGTGGTCTCCGGGGTTCTGGTTTGTCGGGCAGTTGGTTGGTCAGGTGGTCTGGACTGGGGAGGTGGGGGGCAGCAGGTGGATGCAGGTGTGTGTGTGGGAGGAGTTTTCAGTCCATTGGGCACAGACAACTTGAACTTACTGAGACTTTGTGAAAAGAAGCTGTGACTCCATTTGTCCGAGGAAACATTAAAGTGACCTGTGATCAGAGCCGCTGGTTAAAGTTCAGTTTGTTCATGTGTTTGAGGTTTAATGAGACAAATTAACTGGATCAATCTGAAGATTTAAAACTTTAGTTTTATTCAATTTAATCCTCCACATTTTTAACAGTGAACCTGAACTTTCACGTTAGCACTGATCTTCTTCATATGGTGCCATGGTGTACACACACACACACACACACACACACACACACACACACACACACACACACACACACACACACACACACACACACTGTGGTTGATACTGGTGCAAATATTTTCTTTAATTTTCTTTATTTTTTAATCATTATTTTATTTTGCAGTAACAATGTTTCTGAGAAAAGTTAAATTATTAAAAATTGACAAATTGACTAAATATTATTGAAGTAGTGAGACTCATTAGTCCAGAATCAGAATCAGTATCAGTTCACACAAAGGTCAAACCTTAAAGAAAACTCTTTGACCAACTGGGTCTTATTTTGGTAAATCTGGACATTCACTGCTGTCAGATTTATATCCACACACACATACATACATATATATATATATAGTGTGTGTGTGTGTGTGTGTGTAATAACATTTAATTTAAAGACTAAGGACTGAACTCAGATCAGTTTCAACACAGATTCAAACTGATTTAAAAACATCTGAACAAGAATCTGATGTCCAAAGAGCAAAGAAAGAGGCAAGTAAAAAAACCCAGCTGTTCACACACACACACACACACACAACACACACACACACACACACACACACACACACACACACACACACACACACACACACACACACAGCTCACTGTGACTTTTCTTTTTCCTGTTTGGAGGACGAGCGGAGGAAATAAATTTCCTCTGATCCTGTTCACGAGGAGAAACCAGATCACAGTTAGACCTCAGTGAACCTGATGGTCATTGGTCAGATGTTCCGCCGAAACCATCTGTTGGTTTACTTAGTGGTCTATCAGACCAGATCCAGGTCTGAGGACTGTGTTTTACAGCTTCAAGCCAACAAACTGGAACAAGTTACCAAACTTAAACTGTGTGTTATAGGAAGTCATTTATATACTTGTTTTTTTTATCGTTAATACACTGAATGAAAAATAAGTCCTGCACTTTGTGTTTCTTATGTTCAACATTTTGCAGATGTGTGAGCTGATTACCTGAGAATAAAGAATAAAACATTCTGTTTAACCCTTACACACTGTTCAGGTCAACTTTGACCTGTTCTGACATTTAACAGCAGTAAAAAATACCATAAATGTCTTTTAGCCTGAATCTGGGTCAGGAGATGATAAAGGCACCTGAGCTGCCACTTCACTGACTGAGGTTATGGCAGCAGACAGACGGTGCACTAGATGTTTTTCTCCAAAAACCAGTGATGAAAACCTAAAGAATACTCTCTCCCTGCTCTGACACATTAATTAAGGATTAATCCTCCATGTATTAATGTCAGAGAGGCTGTTTTATACTTTCTACATAGATCTGTAGTTCAAGACTCACTACAGACTTATTATGAGGGAGCTCTTACTGTGAAGGCAGAAACATGAACAGTATGTGAGGGTTAATATCTGTATTATAATGTTTTACATAGTTTAATAAACTGATGATTTTTGTGTGTTTGCAGCTGGTTTTTATAATGACACCGAACCACATCTGATGACTCTATCAAAAATAAAAGCTGGACTCACCGTACAGAGCTTTGGCACTGGACTTGGCTTTAGTTGTCGGAGGCTCAGGAGACTCAGAGTCGTGGCCACTTCAACACAAACACACAGAGACAAACATTTATTATATTCATTATTGATTAATCTTGCTGATCATTTCTCCAGTTTCATCTTTTAGTTTATAAAATGTCAGAAAATGGTTAAACAGTGACACTTTCACACGTTCACTCTGTTCTGACTGATGACGACATGAAAGATTGAATGAGTGAACGACAGACTGTACACTGAAAACTGACTGATCAGTTCTCTTCATTATTTAAAGCCGCAGAGGAAACCGCTCACATCAGAGGAGTCACATGACCTGATGGTGTACGTGACACGGCGTCAGGACGAACAGACGTTTATCTATCGGCTCATTGGTGCAGCTCTGACCTGACGTTTCTGAACACAACTTCATTTAAACACGTTTCTCAGAAATTTCAGAAACTCTTCAACTTTAAATCTTTGGTTTTAAATGCGCCAGATACAAAAAGATACACAACAAAATATCCTCGTCAAATCCAACAAGAAAAATTTCATATTAACGTCATTATTTAAAGTTGTGTAACTCTCCTGTGGAAAAGTGATCGGCAGTGTTCAAATCAATAAAGATAAGTGATAAATAAGAGAAAAACACGTGTGGTTTTCTGATGTTCAGGATGTTTTTTTTCTTTTATTTTCACCTGCTGTGTTTTTCATTTCTGACCTCCTGTTTAAACGGAGGCGGTTCTTTCTTATTTATTCTTGTATCGCAGCTGAAGTTGAACCAGCCACAGAATCAAACGTCTGTGTGGGTCATTGACCAGCTGCTGGATCAGCTCTTGGATCAGCTCCTCTCCGGTACACTGACCTGATTGTGTGCAGCCTGAAGCCACATTGACTTTGGGAAATCATCAGAGGCGATTAAATGAGAGGATCAATGAGTGTCAGGAGGAGGGGGGGTCAGGTTTCACTGGGTCACAGAGTCTGTTCAGAACAAAGTCTGGACTCAGAGACTTAGACCTGAACCCAGACTACATCCTTTACTTCAGGTCCACCTCCTGGGGGAGACAGACCCCCTCCCACTCAGAGTGAAGCTGCTTCTTAAATGACACTTGTCATTAAATATTAATTTAAGGCTTTCTTAGATAGAAAACTGAGCTGCAACAGTATTTATTAGTCAGACTCAGTTGTAGCTTTACACCTGTCATCACCTGACCGAGACGTCACTTCAAATTAAAACAAGAAAAACTTTAACATAAACCAGGGCAGTGACCTCTTTCATTTGACTTTTAATTTGAAAAACTAAATCCATAAAACCACCTTCATTTGAAATCAATAAAAGGTTCCAT